AGAGAGAGAGAGAGAGAGAGAGAAGGGGGAGGGGAAATCAGGCGAGGCGAGAGAGAGAGAGAAGAAATCAGGCGAGAGGGGGAGTGGGTGGAGGATAAAAAATTAGGGTTAGGGTTTTTATGTAGTACCTGATTTTTGAAGATTCAAACTTGGTCCCTGATTTTTGCATTTGAAACTTTAAATACCTGAAATTCTTGAATTTCTCTTTTTGAATTAGAAGGAGTCCAATCATAGACTCGTGGAAACTGGACAGCCCACAAGACAAATGGGCGAATCGAGCCTAGTTTATGGATACAAGTCGAGACCAGGCTCGGCTCAACTCCCCTAATGTAGTAAAAAACGAATGATATCATTGTATCTAAATCTAATTAACACAAATCCCCAATGTACATGGAGATTATGTAGTTACACACTACTAGATACAAGTTCTGCTCTGTCCTATGTAAAGTAACATCAATATCATATAAAATCTAGCTGCCTTGGGACTGGAGAAAGCGATGAAAGTTGGAACCTGGTTTGGTTATTGTCCACTGTGGCCTCTGCGTGGAATTGGCGGGCATGTTGGGTGGTAGTTTACCTCACAGCAGCATTTCAGATTCACTTCTCTCGGTATAAATTTGTCTTTTTATCTTCTCTTCTTCACTTAAGCAGAACCCGCTTCTTCAAATTTGTATATGCGCTATACCTGTTTGTTAAAATGTCCTTTCGAGTTGAAAACGACAAAGCAGCCCCATTCTATTCGTTCACATTGACAGAGCTTAGTGCGTTTCGTCATCAACAAATTTTCTTGAATAATATTGAGGAATAGATGAAGCCGCAAGGCTCTGTATTAATTTGTATTGAGCAGCCACGATGCGGCTGAATTTCAACATTCTTTGGCAACGACTGCACCATTTTAGAGGCAACCAGTTACTCGCTGTGATCGATAATGGTAAAGGCTTTACTTTTCTGAGTCTTTATCTTTTATTTTATTAGAACTTTTTTGTTACCAATTATTTAGCCTTTAATTGAAGCTGCATTTGATCGAATATGCGTAACTCGTGACAGGGAGGCCTTCTGAAAGTTGTCTGCGAGTTGCATCTTATTCAACTCAGAAAGCACTTAATGATTATAAAGATGAGAATCAGGGGATTGGAAAAATGGTACTTGCCAAGAATTTAGCCAATTTAATGGAGGAATCTTCAAGTCATTTCATTCAGAAAGAAGCAAGTGACTGTAATGATGATAATGAGTTAGGTAAGATGACATTGGCTAAGAACTTGGCTTTTTTGGTTCAAGAATCTCATGACATCAAGGAGAAAAAATCCAAACAGAAAACCCGTGTGGAGCTCAAGAAGTTACTCGAGCTGCATATAAAGAAGAAGGTTAAAGAACAATGTGTGAACGGGAAATTCCAAAACCTCATGTCAAAAGTGATTGCAGATCCAAAAACTCTTATGGATGCTTATGATAGTATAAGGGTGAGCTCCAATGTTGACTTGGCATTGGATGATAATAAATTTCCTTATGAGTCCATTGCAGAAGAACTAGCGCAAGGAAAATTTGATATTCAGGCCAATACATATGCAATCTCAACTAGGGGATCAAAGGCAAAGAAAGAAGAACTTGTTTTTCCTAAGCTAAAGTTGAGGATAGTTCAAGAAGCCATTAGAATAGCCTTGGAAGTTGTTTACAGGCCTCATTTTTCTAAGATTTCTCATGGTTGTCGAAATGGAAGGGGTCATTGGTCTGCTTTGCGATATATACGCAAGGAGATATCTGATCCTGACTTTTGGTTCACATTGGTCATCAACAAGAAGCTAGATAACTGTATACTTACCAAACTATTTTCTATTATGGAGGATAAGATAGAAGACCCTGGATTATATGCTTTCATCCGAAGTATGTTTGATGCCAAGGTTCTCAATTGGGAGTTTGGGTGTTTTCCAAAAGGACATGGTCTTCCACAAGAGGGGGTGCTTTCCCCGATCTTGATGAATGTATATTTTGACCCCTTTGACCACGAAATCTATAGGTTGTCAATGAGATACGAAGCTTTTGATTCTAAGCATACTGAAGAGGATAGATCTCACTCAAAGTTGCGTCACTGGTTCAGGAGACAGGTGAATGGAAGTAATATCCAACAGTCCAGTGTTAGGGTGAAACCAGGTGTGAGGATACATTGTTGTCGCTTCATGGATGAGATCTTCTTTGCCATTTCAGGTCCCAAAGAAGTTGCAATTGCTTTCAAGTCTGACATTGAAGCTTATTTAAAGAATTCTCTCCACTTGGAAGTTGATAATCAAACTGATGTTTTAGAATGCTTTGGTCCCCATGGTGTTCAATTCCTTGGTACATTGTTTAAAAGGCGCCTGAAAGAGATCCCTGCTGTAAGAGTTGTTCATAAATTGAAGGAAAAAATCAAGTTATTTGCTGAACAGAAGCAGGAATCTTGGGACGCAGGGACGGTCAGAATTGGGAAGAAATGGCTTGCTCATGGACTGAAGAAGGTCAAAGAATCAGAAATCAAGCATTTAGCTGATAATAACTCTCTTTTGAGTGAAATTGTCCATTTTCGGAAAGCTGGAATGGAAACTGATCATTGGTATAAACATCTACTGAAGATATGGATGCAAGATGTAAATGCAAAAACTGCAGCATCTGAAGAAGTTCTCTTAGCCAAGTATATCGCAGAACCAGCCCTTCCCCAGGAACTAAGAGATTCTTATTATGAATTCCAGCAACGTGCCAAAGAATATATATCTTCTGAGACAACTTCAACACTTGCCCTTTTATCCAGCGCCAGCTCTCAATTCACACCTGCCTCTGTTACGGAAATCATTGCACCGATAAATAATATAAAGAAGCGTCTCCATAGATATGGATTGACAAATGGAGAAGGATATGCTCGTACATGTCATCTGCTCATCTTACAAGATGACAATCTCATTATTGACTGGTTTTCAGGTATAGTTCGCCGTTGGCTGAGGTGGTATAGTGAGTGTGACAACTTTAGTGAAGTGAAGCTCATTATTTCCAATCAAATACGAATGTCATGCATTCGGACGTTGGCGGCTAAGTATAGAATCCATGAGATGGAAATAGAGAAAAAATTTGATTTAGAACTGAGCAGAATCCCCTCAACACAAGAAATAGAGCTTGAGGTAGAAAATGAAAAATCTGCTTCTCAAGAATTCATTAACGATGATGCCCTATTTTATGGAATATCTTATAGTGGTTTATGTTTAGTATCATTAACAAGAATGGTGAGCCAATCCCGGCCTTGCAATTGTTTTGTCGTTGGATGCTTGGCTGTGGCTCCTTGTGTTTATACTCTTCATGTGATGGAAAGACAAAAGTTTCCTGGTTGGAAGACGGGATTTTCCAGTTGCATCCATCCCAGCTTGCACAGAAGGAAAATCGGATTGTGTAAAAAGCATTTGAAGGATTTGTTTCTTGGTAACGTATCACTTCAATCTATAGAGTTTGGTGCTTGGAGATGATTTAGAGTCTTTTTCCCTAAAGAAATGTAACTAGAAGAGAAACTCAGTAAGCGCATTGGAACCAAAAGGAGAGCTCTGCTGCAAACAAACTAGAAGATATATTTCAAAGTTTGAATATTAAGTTATGAACTATCACTGTTCGATTTTACACAAAAATGAGAGTAAACCTCAGAACCCTTGTTGATTCAGGTATGCTTCATGGCATTTTCTGGTCAAATTTTGATTGATTTATAGCCTATTGGAAATCTGAATCACTAGTTGGTGTCCGAAGAATTTTAGAGTTGACTTATATTACGCAGGTCTCAAAATAATGCTGTAAAGATTTAATTAAAAAATTGATAAATGGCATCATTATATAAAGTAACACTGTCAGGGTTTCACGAAATCTCATGTACTATTTACGACAGTACTAAAATCTTTTGTTCAATAAATTATCTGGTTGTCTAAATCTTTTGTTGACATCAGGCATTACTGTTTTCTTATTTCTGTGCCATAGTAATCCGTTAAGTTTGATATGATGTCGTAGTAATTAACGAAGCTTGATCTACTGAACCAGAACATTTGATCTTTGACGGTGCTCTGTATTTGAAAATCTAGATCAGCACAATTATTTATTTTATTTTCGTAACTTAAAAGTGCTTTCATTATACTGCCAAAAGTACATTGATGATTATGTATTATATGGGCATGTGCTGAGGTGAGAAGCCATCTTTACTTTGTGCATTTATATGCGAACCAATCTGCAAGACAATATCAATTGTGCATCACTTAACTAAAGAACCGTATGATTTTTTTGATAATGTCGACTAATGAGACAGTCAACGTGACATGTGATTTTCCAACTTAATGTTTGCTGTGCTTGCTGCATTGATTTACTCAATTTGCATTTTCAACTCAGTAATACCAATACAGTATGCACTTATTTTATTGGACAGGCGCAAAAGAACCTTGGATACGGGCATCTTTTTATCTTTTTAATGAACATGTCAGAACTTGCTACTGTCCTAAACTTAATATCCAAATATTGCGAGATGAGGAAGGGGGTCCAACACAAGACATTAGCTGAGAACCCTAGCCGACTGTCTTTTAGGCCATCCATTAGTGGTTGGCATTGTCGACCTATACCTAATCCTGCCAGGTACATGGCTTTGCCTTCACCTTCTACTCGTTTTATCTGGTTGTGTTTTTCAACCTCGGTTCTCTCATTGCTACTAGTCCAAGTCTTGAAGCTGGAAATGCTCATAAGATGAGTAATTTCATATGCATTTACAGGAAGTTAATGAGATGTATGCTAGCAAAATTACAAAAATGATCAATTGAGATATATCGGCTAGGGTTTATTTTTCTGGAATACGTGACGTGCTTATATCAATTGGGTTTCCTTCAATGATCAACTGAGTAATTTATCGATAATATAGGAAATAAAATGACCGAGGTTTAAGCTCCTTTTTCTGTTCGAGAGTGTTGAAAATGCGCGCTGCAATGTCAACTTCAAACCATTTCCCAATACTTCTACTTATTATAGGCTTCCAACTTTCATTTATCTCCTAAATTGACATCCTTGATGGGGATCTGACCACTTGGAATTTACTGAAGCTCGAAGTTCATCTCCAGGCAGAGAACAAGAAGACACAGGTCAATGCAGGCAACATCAATGATTTTCTAGATAAAATGGACGAGTTATTCCCCATCTTGATCTATTCTTATTGAAATGTACTCTAGTATGAACTGTTGGATTCTACATAAGAATTTTTTGTTTGTAATCATGCCCAGTTCAATTTAGCATTTCAAAAGTGCCTTTGCTGCTAGAGATTTCATGTACATATATCCGTTCCATTTTGTCTGCACGAAATTTTCTTCTCAATATGTTGTACAAGATAATAATTGTTACTCATATTAATAATCGTAAAATAAATTCTACAAGGCAAGCGGACGAGCCCACAGGTGGCATAGCAAACAGGTGATCTGACCCTGTGTATGCCAAAGCGAGCCCAATCCAAACGCTGCTCATCCGATCCCCATTGGCAGAGACAACGGGGATCGTCTGACGAGGAGGTAAGTCAACCAACAAAGGTTCAGAGGCTCATATCAAACGGGTTTGTCAGGGAAGAGATATACCTAAAATGGATATCAAACCCAGTACTGGTGAAAAAGAATAATGGCAAGTGGAGAGTCTGCATAGACTTTTCCAACCTCAACCAAGCATGTCTGAAGGATAGCTTTCCGCTCACAAGGATAGATCAATTGGTTGACTCCATTGCTGGCCATGAGCCGTTGAGTTTCATGGATACCTATTTGGGGTATAACGAGATCCCCATGCATCCAACCGATGAGGAGTATACCTCTTTCATCATTGATCGAGGTTTGTTTTGCTACAAGGTCATGCCCTTTGGTTTGAAGAATGCCGGTACAACTTACCACGGGTTAGTGAACAAGATGTTCTCTGACCTGCTGGGGAAAACAGTAAAAGTATACGTTGACGACATGTTGGTGAAAAGCCTCAAGTTAGTCGATCATGTTGATTATTTGCAAGCCACCTTTGACATCTCAAGGAAGTACCACATGAAGCTGAACTCATTAAAATGTGCCTTTGGAGTCGCTTCTGGAAAATTCCTAGACTACATGGTGAACCAATGAGGCATTGAGGCGAACTTCGAAAAGATTAGGGCTTTTCTGAGCATGAAATCTCCCAATAAGCCAAAAGAAGTACAATGCCTAACAGGACGCCTCGCAGCACTGAACGGTTTCATCTCAAAGGCAATTGATAGATGTCTTCCTTTCTTCAAAGCCTTGAAAGGAGGAAAAAGATTTTGCTGGAGTGAAGAATGTGAAGGGGCGTTCCAAGGGCTAAAGAAGCACTTGGGACAAGCCCCCCTTCTGTCAAAGCCCAAAGAAGGGGAAACTTTGTTATTATATTTGGCTATAAGTGCCGACGCCGTAAGCTCGGTGCTCGTACGAGAAGAGGGTAATGCCCAGCTACCTGTGTACTATGTTAGCAAAGCCCTCCTAACAGCAGAGACCCGTTACACGGATATGGAAAAGCTCGCCTTGTCCCTCATGGTCGCCTCTAGGAAGTTAAAACCTTACTTCCAAGCACACAGTATACAAGTTCTGACGAGCCCCCCCCAGACAAGTGCTCCACAAGCCGGACGCGTCTGGGAGACTTATGAAATGGGCCATAGAATTGAGCGAGTTCGACATCACATACCGACCCAGGACCGCGATAAAGGGGCAAGTAGTGGCAGATTTCATCGCCGAATTCGCAGGGGCAACAGACCTCAATGTCGAAATGGAACCAACACATCCTCCAGCATGGACATTATTTGTAGATGGGTCCACTGGAGAAACTGGTTCGGGAGCAGGAGTCCTGCTAGAAAGCCCGGAGGGCCACAAGCTCAACTACGCAATACAATTCGGTTTCAAAACCTCCAACAACGATGCTGAATATGAGGCGGTCTTAGCAGGTCTCAGGTTGGCCAAGGAAATGCAAAGAATTTGGCAGTTCGAAGTGACTCACAGCTCGTTGTAAGTCAAGTCAACAACAATTTCTCAACCAAAGACAAAGGCATGGCTACATACCTGAAGAAGGTAATGGAACTGATTCCTTGCTTCGATAAGTTCAGGTTAACCCAAGTCCCAAGGCTAAAAACTTACATGCAGACGCCCTATCAAAGTTGGCAAGCAGCAAAAACTCGGAGCTGCTGAAATTCGTGCCTGTGGAATACCTCCCCAGACCTTCCACGGCTGAAACGGAGGAAGTAATGTGGGTCAGAGAAACCCCTCATTGGATCTGACCCATCTTAGCGTACCTCCAGGATCACGCCTTGCCAGAAAATAAGGAAGAAGCCCGTAAACTTAAGCGCAGGGCTGCCCATAATGTGCTCAGGGACAAAGTTTTATACAAAAAAGGGTTTTCATCACCCCTCCTAAGGTGCAAGGGAGAAGAAGAGGTGGATTATGTGTTAAGGGAGATCCACGAGGGGATATGTGGCAACCACACTAGAGGCCTAGCACTGGCTCATAAAGTGCTAAGGCAAAGTTATTATTGGCCAACCCTGAAGAAGGACGCCCTTCAGTTCGTTAAGAAATGTGATAAATGCCAGCGTTTCTTATCCATTCAGAGGCAACCATCTCAGGAGTTAATGGTAGTATCCAGCCCATGGCCCTTTGCAAAATGAGGGGTCGATTTGATAGGACCTATGCCAAAAGGAAAGGGAGGTTCAAATTATGCAATTGTCGCCATTGATTATTTCACTAAGTGGGTCGAAGCCAAACCTCTGGCTAAAATCACTGAGACACATACCTCAAAATTCCTATGGAAAAATATCATCTGCCGGTTCGAAATTCCACACTCAATAGTCACGGACAATGGGTGACAGTTCGATAACAAAAAGCTCCGAGATCTATGTGACGAGTTGGGTATCAAAAAATACTTCTCCACCCCTCATCACCCTCAAGCAAATGGTCAAGTTGAAGCAGTCAACAAGACTATAAAGCACAGAAGAAGAATTTGGATGAGTCAAAAGGATCGTGGGTGGACAAACTTTCCCATGTGCTATGGGCAATACGCACTACCAGCCGAACGACAACTGGGGAGACCCCTTTCTCCACGGCTTATGGAGCAGAGGCCATGAGCCCAGTTGAAGTAGGTTTGCCATTGCCTCGACGCCTACAGTCAACGAGATCTCAAACGAAGAAATAAGGCGCTGTGAGCTCGACTTTCTTAACGAGAAAAGAGAGGCTTCGCAGATTAAGTTGGCCATCTACCAAAGGAAAATGGTGCGGTACTACATTCGCAAAGTTAAACGCAAATCTTTCCGAAGAGGCGATTTAGTGCTTAGAAGGGTTTTTCTATCATCAAAAGAACCAGAGGTAGGCATGTTGGGCTAGAATTGTGAGGGTCCTTATCGTATCGCAGATGAGGTTAGGCCTGGGACTTTCTTAATTGAGAATCTCGACAGAAAGATGCAACCCCATCCGTGGAATGTGGAGCACCTTCG